AAACTCGTGCACGTGCCAAAAATGTTTTTCCCTTTTTTTTCCAGTAAAGCCAGGTCGGATTCATTAAAAATGTAAATCAGTCTCAAACTTTAATACTTCACCTTTGTTTCACGTTCATGTGGAGAAAAGACCATTGTTCTATGTGTGTTGACGTACTTGCACCAATCATGTCTCAGATAAACTGCCAACAGTTGTATCAAAGACATAATTGTCCTAATTGTTTCTAATTTAGCTATTTGGAAGAGAAACATGTCATAAAAGATTTCATAAAATGTCCCTACATCCTTGTTTTCAACCAATGAACAGTGTTGCGTCAATGTGTTATCAGAAATGATCCAATATCACCTTTAGCCAAAATTTAGAAATGCTTTAAATCATTTTTCAAACTTTAATTGTCTGAACAAACCATTTTGTACTAAATGCAGCGTCCATTAAAAGCTGCAGTTCTCTTTCTAGCACCAGTTTCAACTGTGCATGTGATTGTTCTTAAATGAGAAACGAGCCACGGTTCAGAGGTTGAAAAATTGCCTTAAATATCCGTATTACCAAGATCATGCAGTCAAAATCAATAATTCTAAACTTCTCCGCGTCTATAACTTTAAATAACAATATGGTTTTAATAATAAAGCTCCTCTACCTTAAATATACTGCTGTTCTAATCTCCTTGTGTCTCATGCTAAAGTAAGAGTCTAATTAATTTTGACGATTGTCTTGTAACCATTCATGCAGCTAAATGTAGTGTTATGAACGAATGACCTAGCTAAATGTGTAAATATGACCTAAATGTCCTATATGTCTCTGTGCGTTCGTTGCCTGTCTGTATATATTACCTTCTGTCTGTCTCATTTTGCCCAGCCACGTCTTCCTCAAACGTCCGTTAATGTCTCTTTCTTTTACTCATGGCGTCTTTCAATGTCTTTTGTCTCAAAGTGTCCAATGTCTTTGCCTCAATGCCTTTTTTCTTCTTCTTTAAACAATCACTTTCTTTCTTCCGATAACTTTTTTCATAATGTCTTTTTCTTTCTGTCTTCTTTTCAAACTTTCTTTCCTTTCAATCTTTTTCTTTGCGAACGCACACATATGTCTTGTCCTTCTTCTTCTTGTTAGGTTTTCGGCGGTTGCACCTTCTGTTTCCGTGGATGTGACCCATCCACTCAGTTTGTGAAAAAGTCTCAGTCTTTTCTTCATGTTAGCAATGGGGGCTGGAGAGGTCTTCTTCGAGAGTTCCTGAGCTGCTGCAGCCGATGCTGCTGTCTTTTTCAGGGGAAGACGCTGATGGTCCGTGTTGATGGCGCTCGATTGAGGTCTTGTGGCAGGGTTTTGGCCAATGAAACAGACAGAAGTTTTCTCAGGAAAAAACAGACAAACAAGAAGCACAAACAAGTGTGTTAATTACCATACAAAACCAATGATTAATTACAAATCTAATGAAATAATTAATATTAACATTTTAAACATTAGATTCTGAAAACCGAATTCTGCATTCAACTGCTATCCTAAGCCCTATTTTTCCAAAAGTATAATGCTCTCTAAAATCATTCTAACTTTTATATCACCAAAATGTAGGGAAAAAAAACTTGTCCAGACGCCTTGGAGATAAAAATAAAATAATGCCTCTTTATAATCTAACTCAAAGTTCTGTGATCATATGACTCCATGTCAGTAACATTATCGTGTGTATAAATGTAATTTTCTACAAAAAAAATATATTTGGTAATAGCTCTGTCTTCGAGAGAGAGAGAGAGAGAAAGAGAAGACAGAAAGAGGGAGGGGAGGGGAGGGGGCTGAGTGGCCTCCCGAACAAAGGAAAACATGGACGTCTGAAATACACCCCCTTTTGTTACATTTTCCTCGTTTTTATCGTGACAAGGTCTTAATCAGTGGTAAAAGTTTTTCTCACGTCAAACGACACTTTACATTTTATCCTTAAATACGTCAGTAATGGAAAACATTACAATTTGCTTACATGACTAATGCATCACTAGGTACAGCCGGATCTTTTTTGTAATACCTCTGTAACTATTGAAACATTACATCAGAATAAGAGAAAAACTTCCATAACTGATCATTCTGGTCATTTCTTCACATGGAAACTCGTATCTACAGCCAAGTGGCTCTCTTTTTTCTCATTAATCAGATCATTATTATCAGAATCCACATTTTAAATACTTGGCTTTTTTCTGTTTAAATGTACCCTTTTTCCCGCCCCCCGGGGGATATGGAGGTTTTATTATCCTATAACTTCTGACCCTAAAGCTGTCCCTATTTCTCTAATTCTATTCCTATTTTTTCACTAATTCACTTGTGCTTCTCTGCACGAAGGTGTGCCTCTTTTGCACTTCTAAACCCTGTGGACCTCTCATCTATGTTCTGTTTTATTTAAGGAGGGACCCATTCTTCCCCCAAGGCTAAAAACGTCTAAACCTGACTATTGTTCTATCGCGTCCGATAGAACGCCCATCACGGCGGTCTTGTCCACGCTGCAATCTGTCGAGCCAAAATCTCTCTCTCTTCTATTTAAAACAATGTGCAGATTTTCAAAACTATGATCCGCTTACCTCTTTAGAAGCGACATTTTTGAAGAGCAGAGAGATTTTTCCAAACCCACAAATCCAGTCTCTATAGCTGAGCTCATCTTGCGTCTTCTTTCTGTATCAAATCACGTCAGGGTCACCATTTGTGGGTCAAAAAAAGATTTGACTGACGTGTTCAAAATTTGGTACAGAAATCAGACAAAGATTCTCCAAGTTTAACATCTGTATTTAATTTATCTTGACAATCAGATATAGAACATTCAAACAAAAGAGAGCTCCTAAAACTATCCATGTCCCTCTCTGACCCTGTGCTCACTGAGCCCCCGCCTCAAGCCAAAGCCAATCAGCAGATGTCCAGGAAGAAGGGGTCGTGTAGTATCAGGCAGCTTCCGGTCCAGGGTCCGGCCTTTCCTCCGTCTCGCCAGACCTAAACAGAAATCATTCACACACTACCCCTCCCTAATTCTATAGAAATATTACTTCCTTGAGATAAGTCAGGAGACTCTACAAGGCTGTCCCCCCAGATTCTGGGTCCATCTCCTTCTCCAAACAACTGAAAAGATTAGCAAAATCTAGGAATGCAGATCTTGGCCCCCCCAGATTGACTATCATTAACTCATATTCTGCACTTTTGGACTACTAAGGAAGAAGCGGAGACCAGGTCTTTTTGCTTAGGAAAGAGACAGTTCAAATCAGGGTCAGTAAAATTCACATCTGCTTTTTAGTCTATATTTAATACAACAACATCCTAGCGCTTGAAGATACCGCCCCCCTTCGGATAAAATAAACATAATAGTTAAAACAGATTGATTTGAAGTCATGAGCGGAGAGTTTTTGTTCCCATCATAGAGATTGAAATCCACGGTGGCTCTGAAACAGCGTGTTCTCATGAGGGAAGTAGGTTAATGAATGTGGACTTGAGTAAAACATAGATGCGCTGGATTAACATGAGCAGCCCGCCAGCCTTTTCTCCTGTCACTTTCTTGCCATTTTTGCATTCGCTGATCCAAACTCCGTTGATCTTGTTGAATGCAGAAGCCCACCAGCTGCAGTCAGGCTTATGTAAGAGCCCTAAGGTAATAGTGGCGCCTTCTACTCCAATGGACGAATCAAATCAGGGATGTCGATGCGCCACCAGTGTCCATTTATAGCAGACTGGGACCTGTGGAGTGTCACTAGGTATCGTCGTCAAAGATCCAATCAGCAAAGAATAGAAAAGGATAAGTCATTTATGGCATAACCTTACTGTAGTTTGATTTTGGATTATGCTTCCGGACAATGGTCGAGGATTTTAGTCAAAGGTGCACAATGATGCTACAGGTAAATGTGCTTTTTGAAACATCTGAAACTACATTATGTCATTTTCTTTCATTCTAAACTGTGTAATTCTACTATTCACTCACTCAAGTGTTCCCCAACCTTTTTCATTTAAACAATCCCATGGCACACCACCAGCTAACACTGAAACAAACATGTAACTCTGCAGCCTTTATCAACAAAACAAAGTCATTCTCATCAAAGTGTATAATATAGAAAATAAAATAAGTGCAAAAAAGTACTTCTAATCTTCTATTTATCTTTAATTTCACATTATTTTGACCAAGTAGGTGATTTTGGATCATTTCCCAAGGCACACCAAATATAATCTCAAAACACTGACAAACATAAGGGGTTAGTTAGTGCACTTTTAACTCAGACTCTGAGGAGCACAGGGACTGGCCTCCTGCTGGTGCCCAGAGTCAGGACTAAACCTTGGGAGGCAGCATTTGAGATTCATGCTGCTAAAATCTTGAACAGTCTTCTTCCGAATGTGAGACAGCTACTGATGGTTAAATGTTTCAATAAAAAGGTACGATCAAATGTTGTATTATTTTATTAACCAAACATAATTCATTTTCAAAAATGACCAAAGAGACAAACAACATTTCATTCGTCCACGACTGTATGATGTAGGATTGTGTTAATGCTAAATGAATACTAAATGTGCAGTACAGAGATATCCTCCATAAATATGATTCCAGTCACAGGGAAGTAGTCTTCAAGCTTCTTTTCCAACACATTTTTCTACATAACGGAATTATTTAACTCAAACTCGTTCCTCAGTTTGTAGTATCAGAGAGAAAGCACCATGTTCTCTACTTTTAACTCAATCCAAGAGTTTGAAAGATGGTTTGGTTTTTTCACAGTGAGAGTAAATAAGTAATTAATGTCATTCTGCATATATTGTATTTGACTTTGACAAATGTTAGTTATATGAAGCACGGAGAAATACAAAAGACACATTCCCTATCTTTAAAACAGACCAAAGAAGCTGGTCTCACTATGATATCAATGAACTATCTGCGTTACAGTTTAGATTCAACAAAACTATTGAAATCAGAAACATTGTTCTATTTGTCTATACATCTGGCTTCAACTAAACTCATGAGTTTTATGAAAATAAAATGAAAGAAAACAACATTCATGTTAAATCTGCTGCATGGACTTGAGGTTTGGAGACACCTGGAAAGACAAGAAACACTTTGTTATGATTTGGATTCTGCTTTCATGCACCTCAGATACTTTCTTACTGACTGAAGATAAAAAAGCGCCAAAAGGTGAAAACTTGAAATACAAGTTCAAAATTGTGTTATAATCCCAGTATAACTACTATTCCGGTACAACACTAATAACCTAAATGTGAAATCCAGCAAATCCTGAAATGGTCATGAGCTGGTCGTGGGTACTAGCATATAAATTTCCTCCGCAGAGCAGACCTGGGACCTGTTTCAGATGCCTCCTCATCGCCTCACTGCAGAGGAGTTCAGGGCAGGGCAGGACCAGATGGAAGGACACGCTTCCAGAGAGCACCAATGTGGCAGCCGGTTTCCATTCCAACCCAGCAGGAGCACACAAGACTCCACCCATTTCATCAAGGCTTCAGGGGAGGACTGAGTTCACGAGATGAAATAGGTGGGGTCGGGTGAGCACAGCTTTGGTTGGAATGAAAACCTGTGAGGACCGGTTAAACAGCCCTCATCTCACCGTACTGTATACTTAAGGTTAAGATTGTGTGCAAAAGTAATTAGCACCCTCGAGATTGGAGCGAACAGATTTCCATCAATTCCTTTCCTCACATGAACTGTTTGAACTCAAAGTAAAAGACAGCAGCGGTACAAAATACAGGCACAAAAATATTGCTATAAAAATATTGCTGAGGGTAATATTTTAGTAGAAGTCAAGGAACTGTATTTATTGGTATTAAATGTTTTTGGAATTATGTTATTTAAATTCTGTAAATGTAAGACACGGTCATTTATGTATCTATCTACATTAGAATCCATTTAAACGAATATAACGTCAGCCTGCCCAGGGATTACAGGTGGAAATTAGCTTCTTTGCTGTGACCTGGTAAAATATATATCTCTCCTTTGTGTTAATGTTTAATTGTAGACTGTCCCTGCTCAAATAAAGTACATACAATACCATACCAAAACATAATTTAGTCCAAACTTCTGTGGACAGGTTTAAATCTCATATAACACTTTGAAGCAACTGTGGCTAACTTTGAACTCATCATTCTAACAGCATGCAGGAGCTGGTGATTTTCCACTTGAATGTTTTTATTATCTGAAGGCTGCAGCTGCTGACTGGACAGTCTATGGTTCCTCCATGGTATAATAGCACACACACAAGCTGTAAAACTCTGTTCGTGTCCCTTTACGGTCGGCACTGGATCATATACGGAATCTGGACGGAAGCGGAAGTAAATATAACCAACTATCTAAATAAATAGATCCATGCCAAAACTTAACCCTAACCCTTCCCATACCCCAACCCACCCTTAACCCTAACCTAAACCATCTTACTCAGACACCTAAAACTTAACCAGTCACCACTTAAGGACTTATTAGTCTAAAACTAATTCCGAAAGTAGGATTGTTACTTCCGCTTCCGTCCCGATTCCGTATATGATCTAGTGCCGACCGTCCCTTTACCATCAACAATAAAACTTGTCTTCTGTCTGCGACGACACGATCGCAGACCGATCCGCATCTCGTCTCATTTTCGACGAGGTTGTACTGGCACTCACCTCAAAGTCCGTCCCGGTGCAGGCCTTGATGTCGTCTGGAGTCAGCCCCTCCCAGACCTCGACCAGAGTGAGGCCTTTAGTCTTGTCCACATCAAACACAGCCTGCGGACACACACAGCTCTTCAGCACTGCGGGGTCACGCCATGTCCCCGACTCAAATGGACTGACAGGAACTGGACCCGCATGAGACAGATGCCAATTTCACGAACATTTCATTCTCTCCGACAAAGTACATCAGTGTGTTTGAACGTCGGAAAGGTCCATCTCGTGGTGAGTTTGACAGTGAAACTTTGTCCACAGACACAGATTTATTGAAACTGTTTTTGTTGATAGATTTCACAGAGACAATTGTTTCCTGCACTTGTTTAGCTTGTTTTATTTATGTACTTGTCTGGTGCATGCTGGGGATTTTTGCAAATGTATTCCAATGTGTTTTTACTGCAAATGGCAACTTAACTGAACTTATTATTTTTTTCTTCTCCTCTAGTATTTTATATGTATTAATCTTTGTCTTCTTGTATTTGTATTCTGTTTGGGTTACACATTTGCGCTTTTGTTTTATGTTGTGTTCTTGTTGAATATTGATTGATTGATTATTTCTCGCTTCATATTTACACTAGGAAGTTGTGCGTGTCTTACCCAAGGACTTAATATCCATTTCAACAACTTAGTCTTTCTTATTTAGATGTTTAAAAAGAGAAAAATCAAAACGGTGTGAAACCTTAAGTCCTCTTTTGAAATAGTCAACGATGAGGATGATTCTCTAAATTCACAAATGTTGAAGGTAACATAATAAAGCACTGTACTGCAATAGAGCCATGCCAAAGCCACTCGTACACAGTCCCAGCTCTAAATAACCCTGCAGCAATATGTTGAAGGAAAAAGCTGGAATTTTCCTCTTTAAGCTCCTGCTTGGAGTCTGTGCTCGTCTCAGCAGGCAGTGACAGTGCCATCCAGAACACTGTCACACTCACGGCTCATTAGTGGCACACAGGGCGACAGGGGCGACAGGGCAGGCAACTCTGCGACATCACCACACACGAGGAACAAGGAAAAGGTCTGGACAGGACAGAGGGGCGAACGCACACCCTTTCAGAACATGTGTAAGAGGCCGAGGAGAAACTTTATCCATAAGAAACGGTGTAAGAATGAAGAGAATATGACGCCACTGAAGAGCTGGCAACATCAGTGAACAGTGAGCAGAATGTCTGCCTGGGGCAGTTCCACGAGTTGACTCTAATGTTGCATTAAGATGAAGTCAATACCATAGATTGTATAACACAGGAAAGGAGTGATAACTACTTAGCTCGAAGAAGCCCAATAGGGAAGTGCTCACTTTGGCTCAATCCAATTCACTAAAGCCTGCGTCACTTTAGCAGCTAACATGGATGATCTCAGCCCATCTCAGCCCTGATTCTCCCCTTCTGACACCTTTACACACGCCTCAACGCCATACAATCATGTCAAAGGATCCTCCTGTGTGGTATGTTCAGACTCCTCTCGTCTGCTGGCAAGGATGTTGGGACGATGTTTGATAAAATATACAAAAATGGATCCATCCATCCGTTTTCTTCTGCTTTATCCATTGCTGGGTCACAGATGCAGCAGTCTAAACAAAGACGGCCACATTTCCCATCTGAGGGAATCCCAAGGAGTTCCCAGAGACCTAGTCCCTCAAGTGTGTCTTGTAGAGTCCTTGTCGCTCGAACCATTGGCAAACTATGCTACAAAAAATGTATGTCGTTCAGTATGTAAACATGTGATCTGAAAATATAAGACAGTGGTCTGAATTGTTCACAACATGTTACTTTTACGAGACTCTTTCTGTTCGGGCAACAGTATATATTTACAGAGAATACACGTTAGGTTTAAGTGCAGAGAGGAACATAAATAACACTCTAAGAGTGTGATTCACTCATATGATGTTTGTTAAAGTGGACGAGTAAAGACCATCAGAGCTGCTTAAAAAGAACAACAGATAAAGCAGCACTTTTGAAAAAACATTGAACCTGGATAAACTACGTAAGCTCCTGACAAACGGCCGTCTTACTGAATCAATTTCAAAATGATAAAATCACTCACTGACCCAGTTTCTATAATTTACACTGGGCCTCAAAAGCCCCCCTGTGCACTGGCGTCTGAGTCACCTTCTCACCGTCCTGCGTCTGCGGCAGCTTTAAACACTGAGTCACAGGCGACGCACGCCCGCCCCACTGGCTTCACAACTTTAGGACATACATCGCATTTAGTTGTTTGGCTTGGTTCAGGAGGTCACACAATTCAGTCCCCACGTCCACATAATATGTTGGTCAGATTAACTTTACCTGGAAAAGCTGGAGTAGCTAACTTACTTTTGGTTTCATAAATACATTTTGTTTGTATACAAATGTTATACTTGTTTGTTTAAGTAACATTTCGCGAACAATTCAGGTCAGAACAGGCTGTCTTTATCTTTACTAAAAAACATTTTTTATATACCGAAAGCTGATTGGCTGAGAGCTGGTTCTCTCTTTTCAAGCCTGAAAAAGAGGATCTAAAGATGAGAGGCAAAAATACACTAGAGATAGAAACAAACTGTTTTGAGAGCAAAGAACTAGTTACATGGACTTTATTACATAGTTATTTTTGTATGTACCAAATGTGAACGGACTGGATTTTTCAAGTAAAATAGAAGTAAACTATATTGAAATAAAATTGTACTTGTATCATGAGGATAATATGAGAATAATTTCATGACGGTTGTGACAAATTGGGCTTTTCCATTAAGTTTGGGCGCACATATTAACTTGTCAAATTTGAGCAGTCTATAAATGAGAACAATATAACACTCAAAGGGGAAATTAAGCAGCAAATCACCTCCAAAATGTCACTAGTAACACTTTTATGGGGCCCATTATAACAAACACTTTTCTCTTCACCAGTTAATGAATGTGCTATTAGCTTTTTGTTTGCTATTTGAAGCAGTTAATGAGCTTTGGATCATTTTCGTGATTTTTTAGTTTGTAAATGATCATGGACATAGAGTATACAGTAGCTGAGATGTCGCAGAGACGAGGCATTGAAAGTCAAATATAACAGTCTCAAGGGACCAAAGACTGGATGTTTTATTGTTGTATTTCTCATGTGTTGGAATTGTTTTATTTTCTTATCTGCTGTTGGCGAGTGTTCAAGATGACTGCTGTTGTGATTCTAGAGTTTTAAATGACCTTCTTTGAACCACAGACAGCGGAGGGTGCTCTATTTTAATTCTTTTAGACCTAAGCGCAGCCTTTGACACAATCAACCATAGGATTTTATTAGATCGCCTCAAAACGTGGGTTGGCATCAGAGATACTGCACTTGGTTGGTTTCATTCTTATCTTTTAGACAGAACCTTTGCGGTCACCATGGGTGATTTTACCTCCTCAACAGCCCCCATTACCTGTGGTGTGCCGCGAGGTTCTATTTTAGGTCCCATTTTATTTTCTATTGATATGCTCCCCGTAGGACACGTTATGGCCTGCATTAACGTGTCCTTCCACTGCTATGCGGACGACACACAGATATACCTCCCGCTGAGACCAAACAGCACTGGAAGTCTGGCTGCTGTGGTCGACTGTTTTAAAAACAGTTGGATGGCCCATAACTTTCTACAGCTCAACACATTCAAATCTGAAGTCCTCCTCATCAACCCCCTCCATCCATATCCCACATCCAAACCCACCTCGGCCCCCTTTCCTCAAACATCACTCCCTCCGCCCGTAACCTCGGTGTCATTTTCGATTCTCATCTCACCTTCCGCTCCCACATCAATAAAACCTAAAAAATAAACCTATAAAATCTATTGTATCTAATTATTTTGACTTTACATCCTGACTGTTTTATTGTTTATCATGCTGACTGTGCAGCGCTTTGTAAACATGATTTTTAAAAGTGCTATACAAAATAAATAAAAAAAAGATTATTATTCTGGATGATCGTGACAAAACAACTTTCAGAACCCATAAATAAATAATTACTTATCATTATAGGGACTAGTCATAGAGCTGATATAACATTTGGATGGGGTTTGCAAGCTTAAGCCGGTCATCTGCAGTTGGTGGATGTTTTCCTATAGGCCTCAATGTTAACAAAAACCGCGATTATCTATAAATCCACACATTTGGTCAGAACCAGTGGAGGCGGGTCCCAGCTAAAAAGGGTCCATGAGCAAGTGCGCTGATTTGCTTGTAATATGACTCCTTGCCGGTGAAAAAAAGGCGTCATGAATTCATATGACGCCTTTTTTTCCTCTCTGTGACGTCTTTACAGGATGGTCCAAAATTCGGCTCTTGGCTCGACGCTACGTTCCAGATGAGTGTCAATGCTGAGGGGAGTATCATATTTGGACCAGCCTAGTTTAGCTGCAGTAGACTTTTGAATGCACACGATAATAATTGGCATGTGTCAGGCTAGTGCCGGCTAACGCATGCACGCACATGTTTTATCATCATACTCATGCGGGAGGGCCCAATCGCGGCCATTTCGAAAAAGTCGTCAGGAGGGAAAAGTGATCACACATAAGTTTCAGAGATGGAGGTCACTAAAAACTTGTGTCTCTGGGTAGAACCTGACGTGAGTGTGTTGTAGAAAGACAAGAGCGTTAAAGGATAAAGCCTGTTGTGCACGTTTTCATCCACACACTAACTGTCCAACTGCAACTAACTTTCCACATATTCACACAACACTCACGACATGTGGCATTGAAGGATGAAGTTAACATTCTTAAAGAGCTTTTTCAAACAGTGAAAGGAGAAAGAAGAATCAATCCCACTCACAACTCAATGGACCAAATCCAGACCTTAGTATGAAATGTAATTTGTACTATGGTGTGGTACGACCAGGCTACGTTGGACCAGGTGTTTCCAACCTTTTTCACCTAGGGAGCTACTATCCTGGAACAATAAAGGCAGAGAGCTATACTTTAAGCGGCCCTATGAAGTTTTTTTTATTTATAGGTGTGAAGGTACAGTCATTATTTACTAGTGCACAAAGTCAGTGCATTTACAATAATGAATAATGATAATGAAGAATACAATCTGTATTAAGCATATTATTTGATTTGTTCATTTATAAATCCTTTGACGAGCTATCTGGAAGGGGGTGGGGAGCTACTGGTGGCTCCCGAACTACAGGTTGGAGACCCCTTCATTGG